GAAAGAGCAAAAAACAATAAAATAAATAAAAATTTAAAAAAATTTATAAACACAAGTAAAAAATAACAAAATATAAAAAAAATTAATTAAAACCAACCATGCCACCCCCACCATCTGCATGCAAATAAACGTATGCGTAGGACATTTAGTCCTGCCACCATTCCACTGTGTGCCAGCGCTCTCTAACACACACAATGTGCATTAAAATGTTACATTAGTGTATATTGTAGCCTCTGATAAATACAGATAAAGAGTTCTAACATCACCCTGATGCTTGTTCCAGGTCAGGACTTCAAAAGCTGTTGAAACCAGAGACAGTCAGGCCAATAGTATTTTCAGATTAAAGTCAGCAGCTCAATATTTCTCTGAAACTCTCATTACAGATTTCCTATATACAGTATATTTCCTATGTAAATTAAAAGCAGTTGCCAATCTACCTTTAGACCTTTCGCTATCAAACATCCTATTCTTCCTAAAGTTACATTAAAGGCAAAAGGTTTTCAAGCTATTTCAAATGCTGATTAAATCATCCATCACAATGGATGCTGGTCCTTAATGTTTACATGTTTTAGTTTCCCACAGAATCAGTAAGTTCCCCCAAACACTAGTCCTGATATCCTGTTTTCTGGGTGGCTCCTTTCCCTTGCATGGACCCATGGAGCCACCCTTGAGTGTGCTAGTAAGTTGTTTGTGTCTCCATAAACACAGCAAGGCAAGCCACTGCCCTGCTCCTCCCTCTCCCTTCTCCAAGCTAGTAGGTGTGCAGCTGCCAGAGAATGTGCTCGCCTTTGTGATCTTGTCCTGGACAGTAAGTTAAGGGAAGCTAAGCAGAGAGAGTTGGAGCCAGTTGTTTGGAAACATGATTGTAAGTGTTTGGGAAAAAATGTAAAGAATACTTTACTGAGCAATGTATTTTTGTTTGATGTGGATTCATTATTGAAAACAAACTGAGAGTTAAAGTTTTAATATCTGGAAATATCTGCCCACTTGAATGCATATACATTTAATTTTTATTCAAACATTCCAAAAATAAAATTATTTTTCTGGAGCCGTACCATATTATAAGGAAGCTGTCTACAAACATATCCTATAAACAGATTTTATTTAAAAAAGGATGTGACTGCAAGGGCATGGTACTGCTCCCATTGAGCAGGGCTACTGGGGTGCTCATCACTGTCCCTGTAATCTGTTCATACCAGATCCCATTAGCCAGGGTTTTACCAATAAAGTTTACATGCATTCATTTACGTTTTTTTTTCCATAACATCCAAAGCAGGCTGTTGCACTTTGCAGACGTTCACATAATTTGGTTATAACGCTAAAGTGTGTGTTTGGACCTAATATTCAAACTATGGATGCACTTTTAATTGTTGTGTGCTGCAGATTATTGTACTCTGTAGTCTGTTTTATATTTTATTGTATTGTCCTTGATGTATAATAAAATGTATATGAGCTGGTAAATGCAGGGTGTCTTTTTTGAATTTGTGTCAGTGTAAATGTGCTTCATCAGTAAATTTCCCCATGTCAAATAAAATGTTTTCAAAATTTAGCAACCCTGTATAATAACAATAGATGTGCCTGACCACCGTAACTAATCTTTTGCATGCCTGCCAAAAAAGGGATTCCTTTTTTAACTTAACTCACAGCATATATTTAAACCATCTAAATGAATCCAAAGGTTTATCTCAATGTTTGTACTCATAGACAAGCGTTTTGACCATTGCAATTACGTTGTGCTTGTATAGGTGCCAATACATACATCATACTATTCCAATCCATGAAAATGTTAATAATTTAGAATTTCAGAACTTAAAAAAGTGCAAAATGTATCTGGGAGAATATTTATAAAGCAGTGAATCTGACTTTCCCCAAACATTAACTGCAGGCGAATCTGCAGGTGAATCTTCTAGGTGCAATTTCAAATGATATTGCTCTATTCAACACCAGAGAATGTGTGGTGAAAGTCACATTCGCTGCTTTATTAAATATGCTTTTTAGTCCCTGGAGGTCTATTTTGACTGATAGTTTTCTGTTTTCCATAGGTGAAGTTTATAATCTTCTTTAATCAGTGGACAGTCCCAGATTGAATGTAAATAAAAGTCTTATGGGGCAATCATTAAAGTAAAACTCCAATAACTAGAAATTATTTTTAGATTTCCCCACCTGGTATAAAAAAAACAAATGTTGTGCTTTAGATAAATTAACTGAGTAAACTGGTCAATCTGGTGGAGAGAAACCATGTTTGCATATATCCAGTTAGCGCGACCCAAATAAAGAAAGCCAGCAATATCACATACAGATGAAAGGGCAGGTGGGACCATTAGCCTAGGCTAATGGTCATGCTTATCTCATTATAATATTTCCTAGGTAGTTAACATGTCAATTCTGTAATTCAGCAAAAATACATATCTGCAAAATGAAAATCTCCTTTAAAGTCTGTGCATGTCTATGATGTAATGCGTGCATGAGTCTAATAGATTAGAATATCAGGAAATGTAGCAATATTTGTACATGGATATTAGCCTAACACTATCCAGCAGAGACCACAAAAGCAAAGGCGGAGGGATTTTCCCCAGCAAATGCTAAAAAAGTAACAATCCATCAAAAGGAAATACGTTAAGATATATGCCTAATAAACAGGTCTCTGTGGTTAAAGGAAAACAAGATGAAAATTAAGTAGAGAAATACAACCAGCTGTATTTCTTATCACACATTTTCTATTAAGGCAGACCTCTAAACCTGGGATTGTGCACCATGATTTGCCCACTAGACATGGGCAAACAGGATTCCACTGCATTAAAAAAAAACAGTAGATCATTCAATCATTTTACATTTATCCAAAACCAAAATATCAGTTTTAGGGCTACTGTATCCTTTATTTTTATAAAATGAAATATTTTACAAACTTGAAAACAACACATATGAATGCCAAACACAAAATCCCTCTCTTTTGCAACATCTTGTTTTAATGATGAACAATACTTATAGCCATCAAATATGTTTTAAAGATATGATGCAACTAATAAAATATACTGATGCAGGCGTAAAAAAAAAATTCAGCAAATTAAAATTTCCTGAACAAGCTGAATGCAGGTTGTGTACACAAATCTCCTCCCTTTCATGGAGGTCTTTCAAAAATTAAAACAGTAGAGGGCCAGTCCACTTATAACTGGCATCTCTTTTAGAGACACTAAACTTAAGATTTAAATCTTTAAAAAAGCATTCAAGTACCTTAAAGGAGAACTATGGGGTTAGGGCTTTTCCCCATAGTTCTCCTTAGGGTAACGGGAGGACACAAACTAGCGTCCTCCCGTTACCCTAAGCTCAGTATACCGCAAGCTACAGCTCGCGGTATACTGAGACACCACAGTATACCGCAAGCTACTGCTCGCGGTATACTGAGACGCCACAGCTGAAGCGGATCCCGACAATTATGTCTGGATCCACCCAGCTGCGTGAGTGACAGCTGGCTCTGCCTATCTAGAGGCAGAGCCAGCTATACCAGCGCCCCCTCCCCCGTCCGATCTGCCAGTCAGCGCAGTGACCGGATCGAGAGGTGAGCAAGCGCCGGTATGTGTTCACTCACTTCCTGATCTACTGAGCCGACCTGTGACAGTCTCATTGTCAAGCACTCACCTCATAGTTCTCATTTAACTACTAACAGCGGTGGCTACTTTATAACACACATAGGACCATGGGGAACAAAAGTATCCACCCTCCAGAAAGAAGGATAGTGTCATCACCAAATCAGTGATGACTTGAGGATCTACAGCTGAGCAATACACAACTAAGATACATTATTGTTAATAGTTAAGGTAGTTGAATGCTTATTTAAGATATAAACTTCTGAGTTTAGTGTCACTTTAAAATATTTTAATGATCAAAGAGGACATTGAGAGTATTATCCAAAAGACAGAGGGAGTAATAAGATGTACTACAATTAAGGAGAGCAACGGGAACCAATCTATAAGATACCTACACAAATAATTGTAATCATTAAGATATGTATGTAAGGAACCCCATATGGGTCCCCCCCTAGATGGGAAAAAGTAAGAGGCTGGCAGCAAAATTGTGTATGGATTGGAAAATGGAAAGCAGGAAGAGAAGAGGATTTAGAGGGGGCCAGCAAGTACAAAAGAAGAAGAAATGGATACCTGACTGAACACGTCAGTATGTTGTAGCTGGCTTTTGTTATGATTTCAACTTTTTAAATAAAGTGATTTTTACACTAGGTTAGTTGTTTGCTACTTCCACATTTAAATGTTGACTGTGGAGAGTTAAGTTACACTTGTGCACTGTGCTGGATCCTTGCTCCAGGAAGATAGGGGCTCTAATAATTTTATATTGCATCACCGGGTTTTCCTATTTACTAAGTGCCCTTATATTATCCTTTGAATCAGATCTGAGCTCCACTTGTGTCAAAGTGGAAATCCCAGTCTTTCTCAGAGACGTAGGGATTTGGCAGCTGGAGGGTTATCCACAAACGCATTTGACCTGCAGTAATGTTGGTCCAACCAGTGAGTGTGGAAGTTATAAGTTTGTAAGCTGACAGCTGTTTAACTCTGCCAGTACACCAATACAGTAAAAAAAATACAATGTGCCAATAAAAATACCAACATATCAAACAAGTGAGTCATACATTTTCATAAGCTTAAATTGCTTACTGCTTTGAGGTTAGGTTTCAATAGCACCCCTATTTCTGCTATCATGTACTGGTTGATGACAAACATGTTTCAATCTAGACACATTTCTAGATGTATATCCCAAAACCCTGTTAATATTACTTATAAAAGTGTCAACAGTGATGTGAAGTAAACCATGACAACCAATCAGGATTTTAGTTGGCAGCGCAAAGCAGATTTGACTGGTTGCTATGGATAATTGCACGCCACTATGACTTGAACTATGTTATAAAAAGTACATGCTTTTAAATAACTGTGGAAACAGAAAGTCTCCTCATCACATTTTTAAGCTAATGCAACACAATTACCATAACTTACAGATCAAATCGCAGATTCTGTCTTTCCTCAAAGAAGTAGTCCATTATAAATTTTTTGACAAAGTCTGGATTTAATGTGTTGTCAATTACTTCTGTCCTGCCATACTGCAGAACAAAAAGATAAATAAAATCAGAATTATTATTATGGAATAAAGACACATTAGCATACAGTGTTTGTTGACATAATTGAGGCATTTACTTACTTATATTATATTCCATCATTAAATTAGCGCTGTTTTAAAATTTTAGCATAATGATATTCCAAGGAAACTCAGTTAAAAAAATATGAGGATTTCATGTATTATTACTGAGAATATTCCCTAGTGACTTTTAGATGGCTGATGAAAACTAATGCTGAATTAGAAATATAACCAACAGATAAAAATTGGTGCGTGGCATTAAATCAACCTATCTAAACATAACAAAGTGTGTTGTGAGCTAATAAATACACAGTGTAAAGATACACATGTTGCTTGAGGGTTTTTAATAACTATCCACAACAGTAGGAAAACCATAAACAAGACTGGCATTATAAAACATGAAATAATACCATACCCATGAAATAAAAGCATAACTCTTTAAAATAGATAAGAGACTGATTTTAAAGCACAGTAAGATAATTTGCAGGACCCCAACATTTCAGCTGTTGATCAACATGCATGTTAGTTTATTTGCAGTTTTCTTCTGTTCTAATGCATAGAGAACTGCAGTAAAGGGAATGCAGAATGCTTTGTCTATACATTTTTATTTTATTTATTATGGTTAGGACTAAAAAAATAACATTTTGCAGACTTCAAGAAAATCTTAAATATTACTTATATGTATTTTGTACTTTATATGCAGTCAGCAAGAGGAGCTCTAGTCTCACTTTCATTTTTTCCTGTCCATCCTTGTCTGTTTTGCTGAAAGAAGCTCAGTAATTCGAGATGACATATTCAAACACAAGTGAATGAGTCAGAGAAATAACTCATCCCCCTCAGGCAAACAGTTTCTGCTGAGAACTTCTTTAGAAAACTAGTGTTGTAGGAAACCTTTCTCAAGGGAGCACTCTGTATTAAAGAGACCAGTCACCTTGCTCATTCAGGGCAAAATGACATGGTCTCTTTTAAAGACCATGTCCCCTCCCCCCCC